ATTAAATTAGATAACTTAATTGTAGTTATAAAGATAATATCAGAAATAGATAATAAAGATAAATACTGTAAAGCAAAATATATGTGGTATTTTCTACAAAAACATCTTGTAATAATAGGTTAAATAGAACTGAAAAAGAAATATTAGCCATTATGAAAATCATATAGTGTAGAATTGAAATTAAATAGAAGGATTTTAAAACTTTATAATTTTTGTTTAAAGTAACTAAAGTTTAACTATTATATTTATTCTAAAGAATATCTAGATTAAAGAAGTCTGGTTTAACAGTAATAATGTTAGACATTTTATATAACTATCCTAATGTGATATTTGTACTAGTATAAAATAATTTTCAAATCAGATTGAATAATTTAATTTTTAGATAAAATTTTCTAATTTGGAGACTTTATAGATAAGTTAAAAAGGATCTGAGAGATGTAAGGCTTATAAAAAGGCTAGTTGAATGTTTAGAAAATTTTAATAGGTATTAGAAAAATAAATTTTCTAAAGCAATTTAATGAATTTTCTAAATTTATTAGTAAAATAACCTGCAAAAACAGGTTTTAGTTTTGTCTTTTTTTTAATATCTTAGTAAATTTTTGTTTGTTTGCAATAAAATATATATCAATATGATCAGAACAGAGAGTTTGTTATATATATATTTTTTTTTAATGTTAAGATACTTCTTTGATCTTTTGACTTTTATTAACAACTTATTAGTAATATGATTCTATAAACTATTACAGAAGAAAGTACAATTGGTTACATATATAACTTTTCTATATTACTTATTTAAAAAGTTCATTTAAAGGTTTTTTACCAATTGCTATATCTAATACTTCTGCTTAAATGTTTTATTTTAAACTTTTTAAATCTGTAATCTGTATTAACTTACTAGGTCATACCCAGATATTTAGATTATTATTTTAACTTTAGAACTAATTTATTCTTAAAATAAATCCTCTAGAGTCTTCTATACCTATTTTTATAACTAATCTAAATATTGCTATAATAGAACTAATACTTGTAGTTAGAACTTAATTATTAAACTACTGTGCCTTTGTAGAGTTTATACAGATTCCAGCATCTATTTCATAATATAATTCTGATATTTTAGTACTTTTGTTTAGTCTTTTTACTAAATTCCTAATTCAGATAGTCTATGTAGAACTATGATTAGTTCATCAATATATTAGATTAGTCTAATATTCTTTTTCTTTAGTTTGTTTTAGTAATCTAGTTGGTGATATCTTTGAGACTTCTAACCTAAAGGTTCTTGTCTATCTAACTACTATAATCAGATACTATGATCTTGGTATCCATTTTGCCAAACTAGTCTTTATAATAGAACTATTGAAGATCTGACTATTTCTTTACTTAGATCTTTTTAAATAGATTTCTTGTTACCTAATTTTAACAGATTTATATAGTTACAAGGACTTATTTAATGTTTATACTACCTGATTTGTTGGTTTGTATTCTTCTGTATAACTCTAATATTGCACAAATGTTCCATGATCTGCCAGTTATGTTGGTACAACTGTCATTACAAATATCCTAATCTAATTATTTGTAACAGTTGCCATAATATGAATATTATATAAATAATTATCTGAATTTTTATTGTCAATAGGATTTGAATACCCAACCTACCATTTGAAACATTAATAACCTGATTACTTCACTAGATCATTACACTCTTAGTTTGTTATTTTTCTAATAGGTAACAAGATATATTTTTAATTAATAAAACATGTAGCAAATAAGCAAAAACCAATATTTTAGGTTTTGAAACTTTTCTTAGTAACCAGTATTGCAAAAATATAAAACTTGACCATCTAGAAGAAAAAAAATGAGCTGAGCAACTTTACTTAAGAATGCAAATAAGATTTACTTAATAAAATATTAAGAAATAATTAAATGTTTTTAGCAAAAATTTAGTACAAATAATCTATAAAAAGAGTTACAAAATTGGTTATTCAAGGCATTTGCTTAAAAAAATAATTAACAGATTATGTAAATAAGTTCTAATTAAAATCTAAAAAAAGAATTTAATTGAGAGAATAATTTAAAAATAACCAAGACTGAAATAATAAGAAAAATAATAAACATAAAAATGATTTATAATACGTAAAGAATTAGGTTGATCAAAATTAGAAGCATCTTTGATATAGTCAAATAATTTGGTTATAAAAAAATAAAATTTAAAGGTTGTTATATACTTTTTTTGTGCAAAAAACATTAAATTAAATTTTAATTATATCTATATAGAAGTCTATAACAAACAAAATTATATCAAGCATACTAGCTGGTATTTTTTTTTTAATCAGCTCAATGAAAATGACGTAAGAAGAGAGTGAAGATCAGAAAAGTTCCGAAAATGAATGAACAAAAATTTGAGTAAAGTCGATGGTAATAGATATACGTAGTTAATCTTAACCGGTTGGCAATCGGTTGAATGAAATAATTCGGTTCGGTTAATCGATTAAGGAAATTTTTCTCGGTTCAAATCACTAATCATGTGCATTCGAGTTCCAAACTTAATCTTTGAACTTATTTTTAATTGGCTTTGCACATACGCGTGTACGTACATGTTTGTATTATTTGGCGATAGTAAATAGCGATGGGACACTGGACACCTCAACGGGACGTGATGCTAAATAATCACATAGAACTAATTTGTAATTTGTCACATGAAACTAGTTATTTTCATGTGGCGATTTATAGTTACCCATATGAGGATTTGAATCACACCCCTAGTTTTTTCTCAAGTTCTAGGACAACTAATTTAAGATAATTGATGTTTACGATCTTCCAGCATCATCAAAAAATTAGGTAACTATCAAAATATTTAAATATCAGCACTTTTGATAGATAGATTGTTCTGTTAGAGGCTTCGTATGAAGAATTCAAGTTGTGCCCACTCAAACAATGAGGAATCACCAATCACCCATTGTGACCTAAAAAGGATTTGGTTTGATTGTCAAATGCATACTTATCTAAGTTTGTGACTAATCCGGTTTGGGTCTGTCCAGAGTTAGACCTGGGTTTTTACAAATTGGCAGATCTGTAACGGTAAATAAAGATGTAAGGTTCTGACCTTTTTACTTTTGGAATAATAAATTAATATATTACTGTACATTTATAAATTCGGTCACAAAATACTATTATAGTCACCACGTTACGTATTAATCAATCCTCCTAAATTTTTTGGTTCTCTGATCCCTCTGAATGCACGTTCTATGAAAGGCCATCCTAAATGCAATATATCTTTGTTTGGACCCAACTAATATAACATATATTTTTTACTTTCCTAAATGAAATACTTCTTAATACACATTTATTTAATTTTTTACATATGGCTTGTCGTAACACATTTAGAAATACACCTTAAATGCTTGGATATCAAGATTGGATCATTCTCGTGAATATCAAAAATGTACAAAAATGGTTTAGCACAACCCCCACCTTGGACTTGCCGAATTGTTTGTATGATGTGTAATGTTTTTGGGTAAGCGAAAAAGTTAAACTTGAAAGCTTTAAAATTTTTTTTAATTAATAACCGGTCGGATTTTTTTTTTTTTTTTTAAAAAAAAAATTTATTTTGACTTTCGGAAAGTATTGTTGAATTTCTTATCGGAGGGATAATGTAACCCGCAAAATCGACCTAAATTTGATTGGTTGCTGTGATTTTTTAATAAAGTCTAACATAAAATTGACTAATGCAAAAATTGACTACAAGCACTAACTAAAAGTATGACATTACAGTAAATTAAAGATATTTTGCGAAGCCTAGTAAATACTATTTGGGATTCTGCTTAATCTCAAACTAATAAGTTTGGGTAGAATCACTAGCTTCCAATGCTAAAGAATGGGCAAAGTGCATTTTCTAACTAAAAATTACAAGTTCTCTACCAAATAAGGGTCGGATGACATTTTTCATAAATTCATTAAGAAAAATTTCCTCCATGATCTGAGTAACAAGTCGTATGAGTAACTCCCCTTCATATGTCCGTGCGTACATATTGTATATACGTACGTACGAACTCGGATTGTACTATTTGATATTTCCTTTTAGGTGTTTGTATGGATGTTAAGATTCCAATTGGCATTGTATTACTATATATAGGTTACCTAAAGAGATTCAATTAAATAACTTTCTAAAAATAGGATATAAATATTACACTTTCGCAGCGAAACATTCGGAATCCTTTATTTAAAGCAATTTTTCTGTTGTCCCCCCAAAACATTCATGCTTTTTATTAAAATCAAACACATAAAAAAGGAATTTGTATTAAAGCTTGAAACATATAAAAATACATAATTTTTGATAATTTTGGTGACGAAAATTCATACAGGTAATATAATTCTTGATTTTGGCATTTAAAAGATCATAAAGATAAAAACACAACGAATTTTACATTGCATAATAAGACCAAATGTTTGTAAACTAGATGCCAATTTCGTTTAATTCTCAAAGGTGGAAAATAAGTCTTAACTTTTTGATGCTGGTTGATGATCTGAATTTCATTAAAATATAGAAAATAAATATACATTCGTGCTATTTTCAGTTTTATTAACTGGTCAGTGAACATGTTGAATATCTATTGATCGTTGTCGACACCTGTTGAATTAGCACTCAGCAAGTTTGAGTAGTAAACAATAACTAGGCATTTAACATGTTTAACAACCACTAACAAAACAGCTTTTTTTCTTTAGAAGCAACAGTAGCAAATTTATCGTCACGTTGACATAAATTCTTACGAGTTTAATAATTATTTACAGGTTTGTGCACACTTACGAAGGTTATTAAAACTGTAAAAACCTTAAGACATCTAAGAGAATTTGCTACTATAAACTTTTTGGATAAAAAATATATATACTTACTTCTTGAAAGTGTTTTTACATAAGAGCAGTCTCTTGCATTATTACTACAATACTCGCATGACTCTTCGCCGATTTTACCTCCAACACATCTTTTTTTCAGATCGTGGCAGACACTACATGCCTTTTGTTTCCTTTTTCTACGCGAGAACGACGAGGAATTTTGTGAAGGTTCTATAAACTTGTTATAGTAAAAAGAGAACTTGTTACCAAGTGATTTCTGAAAGAAACCAATGAGAGAATTAGCATCCTTAAGCTGAGATTCTTGTTTAGTAATGAGAGCATTGGCATCCTTAAGCTGAGATTCTTGTTTACTAATGAGAGCATTGGCATCCTTAAGTTGAGATTCTTGTTTATTAATGAGAACATTGGCATCCTTAAGTTGAGATTCTTGTTTATTAATGAGAACATTGGCATCCTTAAGTTGAGATTCTTGTTGATTAATGAGAGCATTGGCATTCTTAAGCTGAGATTCTTTTTCATTATTAATAGCAATGGCAGTCGCAAGTAGAGAGTCATTTTTATTAAGAAGAGAAATGAGCTTGGCAATAGTTTCCTGATTTCGTTTAAGAATAAATGAGAAAATAAAAAGGTTATATGATTAGTTTTCTGATATCGTTCTTGATGTTTTTTTAGGAAAAGGGGGGAAATGCAACGATACAGCACACACACTATCTAATCTTGCCGGTGAGTCGTGAAAAATTCTGATGCTCACAGTCCTGATCGTACATAATTCCGACAGACAAAATCTTGAAAGATTAAAATCCTGACATGTTCAAAATCCTGACAAGTACAAAATCCTGGCAGTTCAAAATCCAGACATTACAGAATTTGATAACATAAATTTAAATGCAAAATATTAGGATTAGTAGTCAATGTTTTGAATTTACAGGATTTTAAATTTTCAGGAACCTGTACTTGTCGGGATTTTGTATTTGTCAGGATTTTAGTATTTCAAGATATTGTCCGTCAGGATCAAAAGTTCATTTAAATAGCAAAAATTACGGTAATTTTACAATCTTACTTCTGTGCATAAAATTGGTCAGAACGTTTATTTTGTGACGCAGTCATTGTGCAGGCCAATGATTTTATGCGATGACATTTATTTATTTTAAAAATAATTAAATATCACCGCAAAAAGATCATCAGGCTCGTTGTTGTGTTCATAAACATGTATGTTAATGTTGTGTCCGTAGTAATTATCCGGAATTTAAGATAGGCAATTCATAAGCACGTGAATGCGGTATCTGTAGCTTTTGAAGGGTACATGACTATTTACCTGAGTTCGCTCCTCTGAGAGTCGAAATGGAGAGGTCATTTTATCAGGTTCCCGTTGAAAAAATGGAGGTGAAGAGATCATATTATCAAGTTCGGTATATTGATTTTGTTGGATCTTTGGAAGTGAAAGATGAAATGATAGTATGATTAGTTTTTGATATATAAATTTTTAGATTTGACTAGCATTAAAAAACGTAAATGTCATAATTTAGATAATATCACATATGGATCGGATCAGGTGGATATTTTTGAAGGTTCATACCAAACTCGAAAAATAAGTTGGGTTAATGATGTGAGTTGGTAGATACCAAGAGCTATCTACCACTGGTAGCTACCGGTAGCTACCGTGAGGTTAGTGATATAAAGTATATATAAGGTGTTAGACAGAACAGAAGTTACAACTTGCATAAAATTAGCCAATTAGAATCCTGCTATATTGCGGTGCCTGGTATATACCGGTAGAAAACCTAGTGGTTTGGGAATTGTCACATCACTAGATGGGTCTAAATGTGAATCCAGATCCGTACATGAATGCCAGCAACGAACCGGCAAGTATATTATTTGCTAATCTGAAACATAGTAAATTAATGGATTCTAGCAAATAATAAATAATATACATTAATTCTCGGTTCGAAGTTTTCTCTTGCCGACATTCATATTTATGGCTGTTTCAAAAAGGTGTGAATAGATGCAGATTAGGAAACTTCGAGATTTCTAGTCAAATTTTTACTACGGTTTCAAAAAGTTGTGGAAGGATGCAGGTCTCTATACCATAGGGAATTCACAATGATTTCTTGAATTTCTGAAGTTTTCTCTGATCGGATCTTCAATTTTTACTATAGAAAAGGTGTTTTCGTGATAACGATACTGGAGAATTTCGAAGATTCTAGATTTTCTATCAATCATATATTCGATCAGTGATACCTATATGTATTTGGAAATTTTGTATAATTCGAAAAATCGTCTAATTTCCCGCGATTTTACATTACACGATAATCTGCATCTTTGCAATCAAAAGTTCGATTTCCTATACGAGTATCTGGAAATCGTTTTCCACATCTTTTTGAAAACAGCTTTAATTTTTACCCACATAGGTATATGGGAATCGTTGTTTACACCTTTCCGAAAACAGCTGTAAATGTACCGTATTGTCTCGAAATAACGCCCCGGGGTGTAGGTTAGAAATTTGGCCCGAATTAATAGTAATTCGACCTGAATTAAGCTTAATTCGGGCCGAAGTTTTAACCTACACCTCCGGCCGTTATTTCGGTAGAAATTTTCCTACTCGTGTTACATTACACCTGATCTTGCAATCTGATTCGTAGTTCAGGAAATCTGCGTCACAAAGTTTCAGAAGTCGGACTCTCTTTATCCAGAACCTCCGCGTCTTTAAAGACATTAACGAAACTAAAAGATACAGAGGTCATGTTTATTTACTTACTTGATGTCCTTGATAAATATGGAAAGGACCATAAATTCCCTGATATAGGCCTTGTTGGCTTACTTGATATCCTTCTTGATAAGCTCCTGCTGCACACCCTGCCGCACTCTCACATAGTTCTTGTTGGTTTTCTAAGGAAAGCTGAAAGAAAAAGAGATTTTATTATCAATGCCGATACTAACCTTTGAGAAAAACTGAAAACAATGAAAGATTCAAGATTTTTTACTGGATATTGTTCTTGGCAGTTTTTTGAGAACAGAAAATATGAAGAGCTCATATGATCAGTTTCTTGGTAACATATTTGAGATGAAGATGAAGAATCCATGTATGTTTTAAGGTTCAAAGAAGTTAATTGTAATTCCTTTATTTAAAAAAAGGATGATGATATAGATTTTTAGCAGGCTTGATATATATGAGACTTAAATGCAATGTCTTTTCCTAATAGAACTATCGATTTTGTATGAAAAGAGCAGATTGTATATTAAGGCAACAGTGATAAGCGAATTTTAAATAAGCCAGTTGTTTCCATTATATTCGATACTTCAAACGGTTGAATATATTTTTTTTGGATTGCATTTGTGATACAATGTTAAAAAAATGCAATGTAATACAGTTAAGTTTATCTTTGTTTAACACTCCACACGTTTCACCAATGATTATAGTTCCTTTTTTGTTATATCAGTAGATAAACGGGAACGTTCTTTATCGCATTTATCAGTTAGTGAATGCGAAAACCGGCGGCACGCGAAAGCCGCACTAAGGTTGAATCGTTACACCGTGTAATATGTGGCATGATTGAATCTTATTCGTGCATTTTTTTTTCATTTTTTTGTAGATTAACTTTAAAAACGAGATACTACAAATTAATTATTAGATTTTTTTTTTTTTTTGACATAAAAATTTGTAATGTAAACAATTATGCACATTATGTCATTTGTGTCATTTTCTAATTATTGTCAAAGAAATACAAAAGTTTTGATACATCAATAACTAGCGATAGTACTGTAAGGGCTGTAAATCACATATAACCCACCAGTTTTAGGTCCTGGGTCTAAGAATTTGGTGGAACGTCTGAGAGGTTATATCGTGAAAAGAAAAAAAAATTAAAGTGCATACGCTTTGTATTTATAATAGGATTCTAGCTGATTGAAAATAACTGCATTTAATTAATAAAGATTCCGCGGTTCGCACTCGTGTCTAATTAATGGTGGGTCTACTATTTGGGGGAGGTTTTTAATCGGTGGAATGTAACATACCCGAGTGGTCTATATGGAGATTTACTGTAGTTGAATAGTAATAATGAAATGGAACATTATAACTTTAGTCTGTAATCTGCAAAAAAGTAACCTAAATAACGCGGGGTTCACTCTCACTACGCTTTGTTAATAGTACTAGCTAAAAAAACCGAAACTAAAGTAGCTCAATTTTAATTTTTACCTTTTATATGTTTTTTCGCGCTTACTATACCGTTGAGGCTTTTTGCTTGTATTTTTTATTAAGTCCATAAAGTGATTGAATTAATAGAAATCAAATCTTTATAATAGTTTTTTTTATTTAAACTGAACAAAATAATTTAAGGGGCAGTCCGCAGTTAGAGGGTATGAAATACGGCGGGCATTTTACTATAACTTTCATATAGTGATGGAATGCCGAATATTTCTGACAATAAAGAAAAACCATATAGTTAAAAGAAAAATTCTTAATATTTTGTGATTTACACAACTAGAGTTCTTCCGTTTATTCATCTATCCATTGGATATCCAGATCTGAATTTACTCGGATATCCGTTTTACTATTGATATCCAGATAATTATCCGGATTATCTGGATATCAATAGTAAATGGATACCGGATAAATTAAGATACGGATAAATGGATGACGGATTTATCCCTATTTTAATGATTTTATCATCAATAGAATCGAATAACACGTTTTACAACTTTAATTAAAGATTCAAAAGATGTTTACTTAGTAAAAAAAAAAAAATTTCGTTGTAATGAATCGGTATTCTATTACTATAAAAATTTATAATAAGTTCCGACTATGATATAGTACTTAGTAATGATTATACCCTTTAACTGCGAACTACCTCTTAACTAAATTTAACTAACTACATTTAATTAAATTTTAAAGACTTATAGAATTAATTATAAATATACATATATTACGGTAATAAATTTAATTAATAGTTTTAGCGTTTATAGGGATGCAATCAATTCATTATACCATTACTCGGCCTGTCTGTGCATACTATCTAACATCGACAGATCTACATCAATTAAATAAACCTGCATTAATAAAATATGACCTATACCGCAACAGTTATAGTTTCCATTTAACATCAAATGTGTCACACATTGAGACAGTAATTAGTTCATTAGCAAACAAATGTCTAAGAAAACTTTCGCTTAAATTTTGTTCATCTGCGACTCTAGCTAAATCACAAGTTAGGCCATATAAGATTAATTTTTTAATTTCATAACATGAAAATCTTTAAACGACTCGGCCAACCTATTTTTTTTAAAAAAGGAAAATTTTTTCTAGAGGTAAAATGGTGAAATTAACAGCTTTCCTAATAAAACTCTCTTTTTATAATTTTATTAATCAAATATAGTTCTCTTAATTATTATGCGATGCTATATAAAAAAACAATTCTTGATCAAGATAAAAGGGATAAACATACCGTGGTAATAGGTCACGGTACGATTCCCCGAAAGTTATTCCTCCTACTAGACATCACCTAGGGTGACGAATTACTAAAAAAAATATATATATACCTGAAACTAACCCTAACCCTATGTGATGTAGGGATTGGAACTAGAACTTAAAGTATTGGGATTTGCCGTAACGTAACTGAGTTATAACTAGTTATAACTTTTTGCTTTAAGTTACGACGCGCCATAACGTGCGTGTGTGTCGTAATTCAACTTTATATGTCTTAACATGCCGTAACATAATTTTATATGTCGAAACTTGCCGTAATTTGTCGTAACTTGTTATATCAACATCGTCTTTTTTTAGACCGATTAGACAGAGGATTTTCTTCTTCGGATGACTATTAACTTCTTGAGATGTAATATTTTCATTTCGCTCTTGAAGTGGTTTTGAAAGAAGGTGATGTTATAGATAATGGGAAGCTATTATTATTTAGAATCGAATTGTCTTTGTTCATATTCATTATAAAGGTTTACGATTAATCATCAAAAGATTAATAAATACTGTTATAAAATGACAAAAATTATTATTAATCAGAGAATCCAGTTCTTATATAATTATTTATTGTAATATGGGTGCTGCCAAGTGAAAACCTGACATTCTAAAAATAGATTTCTACGAACAACGGAATACGGACTTTAAATGATACTACTATGTGATCAATAAAACAGTATAATTCATTATTCTAGTCTGATTAGTTAAAACTCCGCATTCCGTTGTCCATATAAATCTATTTTTAGAATGTCAGGTTTTCACTTGGCGGCACCCATATGTACAGTACTATTTATTTTCCGCGCAGGCGGGAATTATATGACATCATGACGGTGTTCTTCACTCAAATATCTTTAGTCAGTACAACAAAAAAAATGGCTATAAAGAGATAATTGAGAACCTAATGTTTGCTTTAATAGCACAATCATATTAAAGGAATTTGAAAAACTTCGTCTTTAATTATAATGATACTATTTCACTGACTAAGGGAATTACAAAAGTTCTTTGTTCTAAATAACTATCATGTTCTATCAAGAATTTTAAAATCTTCATTTAAGTAGTACTGTTGTAACGGATTTTAGAACTTTCGCCAAGGATAAAACCATTATGCAAACTAAAAGAATTATCTTCCAATATCTTCCAATCTTAATAAAAACTTAAAGTGCACCCGGTGAAATAACAAGAAATGACGGGGAAATAATGATTAATTAAATGCAAATACTGACGGCACTTGAGATTTATACGGCAATTGTGATTCGTATGGCAATTTGGATTCATACGGCAATTGGGATTCATACGGTTTTTGCCGCAACCGTAACCGTAACTTGCTGTGTTCCGTACGGTTCATTGGGACAATTTCGCCTGCACCTCTAATTGGAACCGCCTAAAATTTTTCTTAATCGTTTAACCGTTTAATTTGCCGGCATTAAAATATTCCGGCCCACGACCAACATAATTTTGCCCGAAATTATGGAGCAATTTTTAAACGTTTAAACGGTTCCAATCCCTAATGTTATGTGGGTAAGTGGCCTGTCGAATAACTAACTTTCAAGGAATTGAGCGATAACCGTGGTAATGTACCGACCGAAATTAGATTATCGAAAAATTCAATGGTTACAATGACCGAAATTTGCTGATAATCAAATGTATCCCACTAATTTCAGAACATCGAACTTCATTCTTAATTAAAAAATATATATTTTACTTGGTGAGTTCGATTTGCTTAGCAAAAAGTCCAGTTTTTTTTTTTTGTGATATGTTCAATTCGTCACTTTATCCCATTTCCTTTACCAAACATAAAGAATAGCATGTGACCTGTTCCTCGGAAGACTTTATTTAGATGTTGTGATAATGATCGGAGTTTTGTGTTACGTATTTTGTCTTAGTGTTAATGTTATGCATACCTCATATCCAAGTGTTATGTTATGTGTAATACAGTATGATCATTCTTTAATTGGCTGATGTAAACCAATTGCCAGGTAACTTATTTATACACTTTAAAGTAATTGTTGAGAACACAGCTGTTTTCAGTATTATTGGAACATCTGGTAAAAAAAAATTGACCGAATGATTGTTTGGCCGATTCGATAAGTTTTTGAATCGATTACATATTAATGTTTATCCTCTGGCCTGGCCAACCTCATCTATGTAACTTTTTTCATGTACTTATTTCTACTAGACATACATCTATTTAATTAAGGTAATTGAGTATTATCCTATTGATCTTAAATGTCAAAAACAATCTGAAATTTCGCATTGAAATTTTTTACAAAACAATAAATATGTAAGTTTTGTTTAATCTAAAAGTCAAAAAGAATGTTGAAGAAATCGGAAATTAGGGATTACTTTTTTTTAATGATTTTCAAATTTCACATAATTTTGCAAACCGTAATAAAAAATAAATAAATAAATCAAGCTAGTATACATAATACACTTTTGCTTTCATCAGTATTAATATTGGTTACAAATAAATAAGATTTAATATAACATAAATTTGTAATGCTTCATTATATAGTTTTTTGTGTTTTTTTTCAAAGTAAACATCAATAGTAAATTTCAGATATTAACTTATTTAGAGTCAAATAGTAGTTAGAATAGCAAAGATTGATGGCTAACTAA